CATCAAGTCACTCTAATTGGATGCAGAGGTGTAGTAAAATTGGGTGTACATAAAAATGAAGTAAATGACCAAGAGATTATGTTTTTGTTATAAAAATAACCAACTAAAATTTTCAAGTGACATCTCATCCAACATGGTCGTTGCATTTTGGAACATGGCAAACTACTATTTTTGAACTTCGCGGGCCCAACTGAAACTTTACAGCAAGCTAAGTTGCCGTACGGCTAGGCGCATCTTAGGTCTGAGAATCCCCCACCCTTCCCTTGGCACCGGTCCTGCCTGTTATCAAGCTCTACATTCTCTGTGCTTTTGATGACATTCATGATCATGACAATAATAACAAATTGAAATTGATAAATGATAACACTTAATACTATTTCCTTATTACCTAGTAGTTACCTAGTGAATATATTTTTGTGATTCAATCAGTATCAGTGTTACAGCATGACAGAAATTCGAGACTTTTACAATTCTGATGATTGTGATAGTGAAAATCTCTACCAATGTAGAACATTTTCGTAAATTTTGTATGTAATTCGCAATCACCATAAGATGGACAGTTTTACTAAATACGTATTTACGCCAATTTAATACTTAATTTAAAATTTATTGTATCCTTAAACTAGATTCTTAAATCTTTAAAAGTTGAGAATCTTTTACACTCATCCTCCGCTGCGATATCACACCAATTATTTATTATTTGTTCTTCATCCGCATCCATCTACTTTAGTATCACGACAAATCATATTTGAGTCGATACCTACCAGGCGGAACATTTTCAGGAAACTAGTATGGTCAACTCAATAGAGGAAATTCTTCATCTTATTGAAAGATTACTTGTTATTGTAAGTATTATTTTTCGACAGTGAGACTACCTGACCACGTATCTCATTTTGCAACGTTGCAGACTTCCTGTCTTACCTAAGGTGATTCGTCAAGCTCAAAAGACTTGGTCGAACTGGCATGCGATATATTGCATCTTTTAGGTCAAAAATCTTGGTAGATTTTGACATTTTAGCCAAATAGAGGACAATAGTTGCTGCGCATGAGCCTAAAGAATTGTTCTGAACCCAAAAATTGGCAAAATTCAGAGATATTACAGCAGGAAAGTGTTTGGTAAAAACCTCACATTCGGTTCAGCTATCGATTTCTGTCTCGAATGGGAGGTTTTTTTCCAAACACTAGTCTGCTCTTAATTCTCGGAATTCTGCCAATTTTTTGGTTTAGAATGATTCTGGATGCGCAGGGGCTATCCTCCTTTTTTTGCTACTAATTCAAAATCTGCTGAGATTTTTGACAAAATCGATGCGATATATTGCATGCCAGTTCAACCGCGTCACCTGAGCTTGACGAGTCATCTTAATTTTTTAAATAGAAAACTGCTCAACATCAATTCTTGAAAACCTTTGTGTTTTCTTTGCTTTGTACGAAGACAACTCTGTGAAAATTTCAAGAAATGACATTGATTTGTTCTCCTTTATTAAAGTAAAATGGGAGCGGAGATTTTTAAACACTGCAAATGAGATTCATGGTCTGTTAGTTTCACCGTTGATTTATTCTTTTCCTTCCCGGTTGTGCAGTCTCCAGAAAATTTTTAGCATCACAGCCATGCAGCCTGCTCTAACCCCACATCACTAAAATTCTATTCCCAAGAGGGAACAGCCAATTCAACTGGAAACAACCCCGTGAGGATTGGGACAATGTCTCCCTTTCTGAAATTTTAAAATCGAGCGAGAAAATTAGGATTCTCCTAAGTCCAGTATCTACTTGAGATACTATCTTCAACTTAAAACTGTGAGTCATTTAGTGACCAAGTTGCATTTAATAAGGAGAGAGAGCTCTGCCCCTATCCTCAGGAGACTATTTTTACTTTAATGGATGTGCTGATCGGAGGAGGTCAGCAGGAATTTCCAGGAGAGATCTGGTCCATAATGACAGAGTGCGTCAGATCTTGGAAGTCGAAAATGACATTGTGTTTGACGCCATGACCAAAAAACTTATCTGGTACGGTCATTTCAATAGGATGACGGAAGAGAGGCTGCCAAAGAAGATGCTTGATTGGGTGCTTCCTGGGAGGAGACAAAGGGGACACTCAGTAAAAGGGTGGCGACAGGGGGTTTTAAATGAAATAAGGGAGTGCCAACTCCCCGACGGGTTGTGGGAGGACCGAGTTTTGTGGCAGTTAGGCGTCACAGAGTACCATAGAGCACAATGAAAGCGTCTGTTATGCATGTGTAGGTATACTGATTTCTTAAAATTATTCGCAAAATCATCCATGGGTATAGTTATAATTTAAGATAAGTCTTCAGCATTGCAGAAGTTGCGCATTATATGTTGAGACAGATGTCAATCTCTGTTTAGCTCTGAATCAGCACCACTCAACAGGTTAACACGAGCAGCCAGATGGCACCACTGATGAGTGGTGACATAGACAATACTTACATTGACATATGTTTGAACATACCCTAAGGAGCGGCAAGCTCCAGAGAACGACCGGATAATCGATCACAATCGATGAAATTGCTTCATGGGCTGTGAGGAAGTGTTACAGAAAAGAACTGCAGAGCAAAAAAGGAACTTGGATAGTCTGCAGCTTCTTCTTTTAGGAGAGAAGTGTTCTGCTGTTAAAAAATTATAATGAGCTATGTTGCATGAATAAATCTTGAATAAATTCTTTTACGAATTGATTTTAAAATAACAATTTTTCTCTCTGTTCCAGTTAAAAGAAGGAAGAATGCTGAAATCATACATCTTAACTTTTTGTCTCCAAGAAGTCGAAATTGACAATGGCATCATCATATTGGTTCAGCCTTTCATCACTGCTCTTAAGGTAAGTTATTTTGAAAAGCAGATTTTTTTTTTTTTTTTTTTAAATGAGCAATCAAACTTAAAAAGTCTGTAAAGTTTTTCAGCTGCGTTTGTAAAAAGTTGAGTTTTCTAAAACTCAACTAACTAATTTATTTTTTGAGGTTCAGAGCAGGGGCAATAGATGAATAATTAGATTGCATTTTGCAAAGAGGAGCCACAACCATTGCAATGATGCTAAGCTTGTGCAACATCATTCTTTGCAATAAAATTAATGAAATAATGAAAAAAATATGAGTTGTACATGGTCATTTTTGTCTAAAATTTAAAGTTTTTAGCAAGTAAAATAGAAACTGTTGATGGATAAGCAGGTTTGCTTCCAAGACAAAAGAAAATGCACAATCTTAGCAACATTGCAAAACTCCTAGTTCCTTCTTGTAATATGCAATCCAATTCATCTAGTGCATACTTTTTTCCCCCTCAATCGCCAAAACTGGAATGTTTCGAGCTTAGTTTTTATCTTTGATCGTCTCTTTTTCAAATCTCTATCGATTACTTAATGTATCTCTCCCTCCAATTTCAGGATGTATTACTGCAGATGTTTGAAGAATGGGAAATTTCATGGAAGAAACAGTGTTGCCAGAAGAATAATAACCAATTGGTTCCTTTTTCCAACTATAACTCCAGCCGTATTTATACTGAAGAGACTTTGAAGACTGATAGTTCCTGCATGCTGAACTCCACCAGACAAACCCTGTATGAAAAAATAGGGAACTCCAATGATCAAGATCCAGTCACGAAATGTCAGGAACCTACACAACATGGATTGCTAGAGAACACATGCATGGAGTTTGCTTCAAATCAACGATGTCAAGATCAAAGTATTTCAGAAACTCCTAATGCATCTTACAGTCTTCCAAATACATCCTCCAGCATTCCTAAAAACGAAAAAGCTATTACTGGGGCTACCCACTTCCCCTTGTGTTCCGAATTGAATACAGATTCTGAATCAAGCGCAGGGAGTACTTTTGATGACAGACCTTCATCAGGACGTGTTAGCCCATCGTTTGAAAATATATTTTATCCTAGAGTTCATCTTGAATTAGAGCATGAAGACTTGTCCCGCGCTGGTGATAAGAACAGTCAAAATACAGGAATTAGCAACTTTCCAACGAATGATGCCTGCTGTCATAGCACTTATCTGAAAACTAAAATTCAGTCAAATTTCAGAAATATCTCTCAAAATACTCTTGGAAATGAAAGCTATAAAAACATTCATTATGCTAAATTATACTCTCAAGTTGATACTGCATCACACCCCACGGAAAATAACGAAACTAATTTAAACTTTTCAAATAAAGAGAGCCACATTTTCGAAAATACTTCTTTTCCCAGAATCTATTCTCATTCGGAGTCAGATAATCTGTCAATCGTCAATAGTATTAATACGCCCAAGAAAGGCTTTGCCAATGAAGATGTAACATCTCAGACCGAAACACCTTTGAGCAAAGGCGAGAATATTTTTCAAAATGTCGCAAGCCAGTCTAGATTCAGCCATGCTGCAGATGTGAATATGGGTAGTTCAGTTTTAAGTGATTGTAACATGCCTGATGTCAGTTCTTTCACAAACGCTCCATCAAATACTCTTAACGTTGACGATCTGTCTCTATGTGTGGACCATGATACCGTGTCTAAAGAGACTAACCATCTAGGGTCTGTAACTGCTACGGACGTAAATGAAACCTACTCAAATAGACAAACTACTATTGACTCCTCTGTATTGAATAATTCATCATCAAGTTTCCCATCATATTGTTCTTCAACAGCACCAAAAGAAACTCAGTCATTTGGATACTCTCATGTGAAGTTCAAGTCAAAAAATGTAAGAAACTTGAAGTTCTAAGTGTTCCTAAATATGATTCGTATGAAAGATATTAAGATGAAGTTAGGACTTTGCACAAGATGTCTATAAATGAGTTTTCAGCTTGCACGGAAAATATTTGTTTGCTGCTAAAATAGTAGAAAATTATGAATTTTTCTCTTCAAGGTTGATACCAGAAACAGCGGTAATTTAATGTGTAGTAGCAGATACGTAAATTTCTTTTAAAAGAGATTTTTAAATGTTCCATTTGAGACACACATTTTTCTCATCTAGCCATTGATATGAAAGTCAACTAATGTGATTAAACATCAAGATATAACGTAAAAATGTCATCAGTACTCATCATATCCTCTTTAATTAATTTCTGAAAATACTCACAAAACTTTTACTAGTCCTAAAACTCATACTCATAAAACTTTTCTCAACGTCTGTATCTTCCTTTTGAATCATTGGGCAGAACAAAATAGGTATGTGTTCAATTCAGCGCACTACTTTGTAATCAGCTTATCTGCAATACAGTTGGGAGTAATCAATACGTAAAACATGTCCACCGATCAAAGTGATCGTAGGCAATAGATTTTCAGATTTTGAATTGCGTTACGCTTTGAGGCTTTTGAAAAGCTGTTTTCTGTCCTCTATCTTTAAAACTCATATTTTTCCTTGTAATTCAGAATTAATATTTCTTTTCAATGTTTTCTAGGTACCTGAAAAGGAAACAAGTTCTTGTACATACCAAGTATTGAATGTATTGAAGACACCAATAAAAGAAGGGGAACATTATAAACAAACTCTAGTACATGGTAAGTCTACAAGTGGCTAAGGTCATGTAAAAATGTAATACTGGAAAACTGAAAAAATGGAAGTAATAAACTGTGGATGCAACTGAATTGAGCAGATCTATACAACATAAAAAGTTCACTTCATCGTGGAATTACTTAATAAATGCTCATGATCTCAATTAAAATCTCTGATAAAATTGGCACATTAGTCCAGTGAATACTCCAAATTTCCTATTCATGAATTTTCTTCACAATTTATTTGTATTTCAGGAAAGAAAGTTTTCACCTGCAGCTATTGTAATGAGCCCTTTCCTCGCTTGGGAAACATTCGATCTCATCTGGGAAAAGTTCATAAGATCCAGTCTACTCCAATTTTCTCCTGTGGTAATGCTCCGATAAACTTTTCAGTACTTATTCTTCAAGAGGAGCTACCTCAGAAGTGTCTTCACTTTTTCTATCTGTATTACAAAGTTATCTATCTTTTTATTCCTTTATTAAAAATTACGTCATTTTTCAGCTTCCATACAAAAATTGCAATCACATGATAAAAATCAATCTCCTTCCTGTGAAGAATTCTTAGAAATAACCTACATTTTCTCTCGCCAGTCTCACCAGTTAGCACAATACTCGTCTGGCATTTTTTAAGGTCTAACATTGCCTCACCACTACCTTCTCTTTGAGTTAGTATTCAGCAGAGATCGCTAATTTTTGCCCACAATTTTGAAATTGTAAAAACTTAGAGAACCTAGCTTTCCACTGGCCAAGCATACAACTTGTTTTACCCGGAAAACGTAAAATGATTTTTTTTTCTAACTTTACACCTTAAAACATTTGTTCTATCTCTGCATCTATCAGTTTTGTAGTTGATAATTTCAATGAATTTCAATTTTTCTTCTCTAATCAAATTATTTTTAAAGCTCTCTGTATTTATTCCTTATTTTGATTCTCTCGTTTTTAATCAAATTTTGAAAAATTACAGATTTATGTGGCAAAAAGTTTTCGAAAAAGATGTCTCTCGCATTGCATATTCGTTCTTTACATGATGGAGTAAAGCCTTATGAATGCCAGTTTTGTCTCAAAAGATTTTCTCAGAAAGTTGTAAGAGATACGCACGTCGCCAGACACACAGGTAAATAATTATTATTAAAGGAAGGAAAATTCAGAGAAAATTTGATCAAGTTTTGAATTTTAGAATTACGAATAAATTAGTTTCATGTGTCGTCCTAGAATAGTGCGTAACTTCTCAGTACTTACATTGAAAGGAAAGAAGATGGGTTGGTCTAGTATTTTTTTCTTCCTTCTGCTTTCTTCCTTTCTTTAAAAAATCTGTATTGCCTTGGTTTCCTATTGGTTTCAGCCATTGGCAAATTATGTAAACCTAATTTTTATCATTATCAAAAAAGAAAGAGAAAAAATAAAATCAGTCGATCAGAGAGCTTTTCTAAAATTTCACTTATAGCTTAAACATCGCTAAATTCTCAAAAAATGGGTTGTGAAATGTGAGCTCTGTCAGTAATTCAGCAGTTATAAATTCTTTAAAATTGATTCTGTCCTAGGAGATTATCAATATGGCTGTAATGAATGTGGGAAGCGGTTTGCTGCCAAGAACAAATTACGGTTTCATATCAAGTCGCATGGTGAACCTCAATTCCATTGCAACTTGTGTAATAAGTCATTTACCACCAGCCAGTATCTTCACAGTCATGAGAAAACTCATGCAAAATTCGTAAGTTATTACCCAAGTAGTCTCTATTCTCTTCCTGGAAAAAATTAATCAATTGATAGTATCTCTTTTGAAGATGCTATTACTGAGGATGTATCATTGATAGGGGGTCTGACAATGCAAAGTAATTTTTAGGATGAAACTTCGTTATAAAGATTCTTCAGTTGTCGTTAAAAAAGAGGTATCTCACCAGTGTCTCCATAAGGGAAAAAAGTGGTTTCCGTACATTTGCATTCTTTTTGTATTTTTTCAAGAGGGTTCTTGAAAGAATTTTCCGACCTTCCTAAATTTTAACAAAGGAGAACGCAATAGTGTATTTCCTTCGGAAAATACACTAAAAAAAGGAAAAAGAAATTGATAAAGCTCTTCTTCTTAAAGATTTTTAAATTCTAATGCTTCTTATGTGTGTTTACTCCAGTAGTCATACTTTTCCAAGACTTTTCATAAAGAACATCTCAAGAAACAGAATAATTGAAATTACACACGATTTTATGTCACGAATGGGTCAGATGAACCTTAATTTAATTTCACTGTCTAGTTTTATTAAGTTTTCTATTTGAATTTCACAGACCACAGAAGATGCAAGGATTTGTGAGTATTGCAATACAGTATGCTCCAATGAAACAGCACTATTACGACATCAGCGCTACAAACATGGCAAAGCATTGTTTACCTGTGACTCTCCCAACTGTAACAAATCTTTTGTAAGCCGTACCATGTTGTTGAGACATCAAGACCGCCTTCATAATGCCAATAAAATGTAAGTTTTGAAGTTTTTCTTTTTTTATAATTTTTTTCTCTCCTTGATTGAGAGCTATGGCCAACAGCTGGGGCGGTTGGACTTTATTCTTATTTTTTTCTCTCCTTGATTGATCCAATTAAGTTGGTTTGAACTAGCAATGTTGGTTGGGCACTCAGCAAAAATCCATTAAAACTTGGATTAATATCGCAGGTGTTCTTTCAGAATTTCGACGGTGTAAGTCAGCAATCACATAACTCGATTTTTGGCGGTTTTCCATCGGTTAGTTCCATAATTTCAGCTACTTGCCATTTGTTTTGAATTTTGAGATCGCACTTCTGTTGTCATGAGACTAAAGAACTGATGTACCAAATTTGACAAAGAAATTCAACACAAGGAAGGCGTGGTTTTTTTTAGAGGAAACATATCGCATTGGATATTGATATCGAAACTGCACTCAAATGCCATATTTTTCCTCTAAAAAAACCACGTCTCCAATAAGTTGAATTTCTTTGTCAAATGTGGTACATGAGTTCTTCAGTCTCATGACAAAAGAAGTTCGATATCAAAATTCGAAACAAATGACAAGTAGCTGAAATTATGGATAATCGATGCAATATTTTGCACGTTGCTCTGACACATAAAATGGCATCTGTCGATTCACCTAAAACTCTATATTGAGTCTTTATTTAGTCAACATCGGCAAAGAATAGGTTTGAAACAGTAATTCGCCATACACGTATCTCAGAATTCAGTGTTGGACCTTAGTTCCACAAACACGTAACTCGGTTTTTCGGCCATTTCTCCTGACAGATGAGAATATCATTCAAAATGATGGTAGAGCCTTATAAAGCATCTTATCCTCGCTGTCTTTAAGAATTATTTCCCCTCTACCTTCAAAGATGAGGAATGTAGAGTTTTTCCCTCTCCTGAAAAATTTCGTTTTCCGAGTTATGTGATTGCCGACCTACACTGAGGGTCGTATTCATTTTTTTTTGGTGAATCATGCAAAAAAATTTAGCCCTACCATTCGATTTATGCATTTTAGAGGATCTAAAATAATCAATTTGCAGTTGTATTATCTAGTATGTAGATTAAGTCGCGGATAATTGTAAACTAAACTAGTATCCTTATCCTGCAAAAGCAGTGCTTGGTATATACGAAGTTTAATAAATAAATAGCTTTAATAAATTATAACCAATATACTAATGAAGGGAGGGTTTAATAACTGAGGTAAGAACTATCACCCACACCTACAGAACTGCATCTTAGACTGAAAATGCACACGTGGATAACGCTGTTAAGAACAACAGCTCAATTGTGTACGCACCTCTCTCTTACAAAAACTCTTCACATCTGTATGCTGTGGAGTCTCGATTCTTGGGCAATGAATATCAGGTGTGGGCACGCACAGCCTCAGCATGTACCCATGAACCATGACTATAACTAGGGGGTCAAAGTAGGAAGTGCCAAGCTCAAGGATCGATTTGTTCCAGGATGTATCAGTGTAAGGATTGTGATAAACAATTCTCCCAAAAAAGAAGTCTACAGGATCATGTAAAGCAAAAGCACATGTCAGGGTTGACCGAGGAACAGCTTCGTCCATTCCACTGCACTATCTGTGATAAACGCTATGCCTATGCCAACAAACTTGCTCTCCACATGAAGACACATACTCAGGTAAAAAATGTTTTAAATACATGTGCAAGTATATTAAATTATTCTCATATGCATTGGAGAAAATTTATTGATATGAGTCTTCTAGGGCTGTGCGAATAGTGAATTTTCCAAACGAAGCGAATAGCGAATAATTTCGGCAACTATTCGCTAATAGCGAAGCGAATAGCGAAGCGAATAGCGAAGCGAATAGCGAAGCGAATAGCGAAGCGAATAGCGAAGTGAATAGCGAAGCGAATAGCAAATAATTTAAGTCAATTATTCACAGCTACGAATAGTAAAACGAATAATTTTAAATGACTTTTTTAAGTCTGAAAATTTGCGAATATCACAAAAGTCGACAAAAAAAATGTGATTAATTTTTTTAAGAATTTTCCATTTGCTCATACACCTGCACAGAAAACAACAGTAGTAGCCTAGGCTGTTACGAATGTGTTTGAAGATCCCTAGATGCTGGCTTGACTGTCCCTGCAGGTACGTATGCATTCCCGGGATTTGAAGTTAATTGCGCGGGCAGTCAAGCTAGTATCGAAGGATCACCAGACAAATTTTTGTATTTTATTTTTTTTAGTGTAAATGAAAATGTATTTATGAAATTTTTTTTTTTTCTACTTCAGACATTTCTGTGTCTTTCAATCCTTAATTTGGGCTCTTTGCTTATCCCCCTAATCGCAATCGCGCTCGCTGTTCGTAAACTCGGCAAAGTCGGTAAAGATCAAAGAAGATCTGCCGTTCGCAATGTCTCGGGTGGAAGCAGAAGCCTCAACGGTTCTCGCAACGTTTCACGATTGCCACTCGGAAATTCGTTATTTTTGATGGCGCAATTATTTGAAAATTCGGCGCGAATATTTGAAAATGTCAGTTCAAAAATTCACTATTCGCGACAGCGCGATTATTCGCAATTTGCAAATAGTGCGCGAGACAGATAAAGCAAATATTCACCGAATATTCGCGGCACAAATAGTCGGAATTGCGGATATTCGCACAGTCCTATCTCATATGCATTGGAGAAAATTTATTGATATGAGTCAGTCTTCATAAAAAGCTTCTCCGATTAAAAAGTAATCTATTCATTAGTTCTGTCAACAAAAATATAGATTGGAAATGCATATAATACAATTGAGCTCTGTTCATAGGTCACTTCCAAAGTGTTTAATGCTAACACTCATTGCTCGCACTTGCTTGGAAATCATTGAAATTCAACTGTAGTTAAATTTGCATGAATTTTGATCGTTTTGTGACAAATTTTTTAGATGCGTGTAAAAAGTATGGTATTGTTTAGTCAGGCTGCAAATAAAAGATATTGTCATGGTCAGTTCATGCACAAACTAGACGGACTTGCCTTCGAAGTGTTCGCAGAGTTTCAATAAGTTTTTTTTTTTTTTTTTTTTTTTTTTTTTCGTAGCTGTTAAATCTAAAATCGTAGCAACATGCACGTATCAAAACATCAGAATTTTAAAAATTTCTCGTTCTAGATAGTTTTTCAGATATTAATGTATTTGAGAAATAGTTTTTCTTGACTTAACTGCTTGAAAGGATTCAGCCACATCAAACAAAAGGAGTGAATTCTCTTTTTCAACGTTAAATTTAAATTTTTCTCTCACAGCTCTGTTTTCGTTTTTCCTTGTTTTTGTTGAACAAAAAGAGTGACAGCACTCCTCATCCTTTTTTTGGATCCAGCAATGTTTAATTGATAATTTCCTCCTCTCTTCCATCAATAAAAGTTGTTTCTCTTGTTTTTGTAGGATCCTCCGCATCGCTGTGACCTCTGCACCAAAGCTTTCTACAGGCTGGACTGTCTGAAATTGCATATGGCTTCTAAGCATTTCTTCGCAGATCAGTTGGGTTTTCCAAAGTCACATGCTTGCAATGTGTGCGGTCACAGTTTTGCAACTAAATCTAGTCTGAAAACTCACCAATCGCTCCATTGTCAGAATAGTGAAGACACCATTGCTTTCAATTGTATTCAATGCAAGCAGGTCTTTAAAAGCAGAGCAGCTCTTAATTATCATTTAAAAAAACACAAAGGACAACTCGGGTAACTATTTTAAAACTTCCTCATGTTTCTGTTACCTCTATTATGTATCCTCTTTTTCATAATACAAAAATTACTCTAAGGAAGAATTACCAACATTGATCAATTTTGATTGAGGAGTGACATTTTGAGCAATTTTTCAAATTCTGAATGTACCTACTGATGATCATCTCAAAAGCTAATTTAGTTGAGCTTCCGGTGGTATGAAAAGGCTATACTTTTATAATGGTAGTGTTATGATTGTCACTCTTTTCTACCTGTTCCAATTTCTGATTGCATTAAATTGTTGGAATAATGTTCATGATTGAGCCTCTATCTCACCTCTTCGGAAATTGACTCTCCTCTCAAGTGAATGAGCATCCTATAACTTGAGTAGGGCAGTTATCAGCAGCCTGATTGTTGAAATTTTTTGTTTGTCGGGACAACATAGATGACATAAGTTAAAAGGCGGAGCGTGATTGGTCGGCTATGTCTTATCGCTGCTTTATCGTGCCTATGTCGGGTGGAACTCACCACAAGCTAACGGCACCTCTTAAGTTTCCGACAGTATGTCGTCCATTCCACCTGACAAAGGCACAACAAAGCAGCGATGAGACATAGCCGACCAATCAAGCTCCGCCTTTTAACTTATGTCATCTATGTCGTCCCGACAAACAAAGAATTTCAACAATCAGGCTGCAGAAGGTGAGGACGTCAGTCTGCTTACAGCTAATTAATCTTTAAATTGAACTCTTGATGATTATTCTCTCTTTTTCCTCTACAAATTTAAACGTCATGGGAAGCTCCTCTGGCGCAAGTTATTAATTTTGTAAGATTTGCTTAAACTTGTGTACATGAGCAAGTATTGAACACAGTACTCTTTCATTGTCCAGACCAAAAATAGAGATTAAGTCTACCGAAGCTAAAATCAATTTCTTTTCTGAATTCCAGTTTTGAATGCAGCTACTGTAAGAAGAAGTTCGTTCGAAAATGTTATCTTGATGATCACATTCAATCACATATCTCAGAACGAAGTTTCAGGTGCGATTTGTGTTCATCAAGTTACAAGCGCAGTAAGCACCTGAGGGAACATGTTCGACGAGCTCATCCTAAAAACATCACTGTCGATTCGCTTCTTGAATCCATCACCAACGAAAGTAGTGATCAGCAAAACTTACTACCTGCAATAAAGGATGAACTGATGATGAGTTTAGCTGCATTGTGAGACCTTAAAGTTTTTATATTTTCATGGCCATTCAATAACGTCTAGTCATCAAAATGTCATCTTCATTGGGAATGTAGATCTACACTTTGCTTTTGAGGTATTTATAATGCTTCATTAAAAAATCTAGAGGATGAGATAAGGGTCCGTTTATAAATTACGTATTGCATTGAGGGGGAAAGGAGGTCATAGAGAGTGTTATGCCCTGTTCAAAGATGAAACCCTCTGTCACATAAGTGTTTTAAAGGGGGAGAGGGGCTAAAGATGCTGGAAAAGTGCGTTACGTAACTTATGAACTCTCCCTAATTTAATATATTTATCATATTCCAAGAATTTTCTATTTATTTTTTGTCAATTGACTTGTCACCCAGGCTCTAAAACTTTAAACGTTTACAAGAGTTTCAATTATATACATTTTTTTAACATTTATTTGATTTTGCTTGAACTTTTCCCCTTTAACCATGTCTTTTTCTGCACATCTGAGCAAGTTGGGGAAGCACCAATGCATTGACTAAGTTTCTCTGACATCTAATATTTTCCCTGTTGTGTTTATTTTGAAAGGAAAGCTGAGCTTACATGTATTAGTGAGTGACATGAAAAATTTCTCAGTAAAAATCAGGGGAGACTCAGTTCAGCCGTTAATAAAGCAATGAATTTAGGGATACTCGCATTGGACTTAAACTAAACTGAGAGATATTGAACATTCTATAATCGTTTTCTTTTTTGATATATATCAGTGAACATCAATTCATTCACACTAAAATAATTTCAGTGCCATGACCAACATGACCAATTAAGTTTTGGATTCTATTTCACATACATTATTTTATTCAAGTTAAATGTATGACCCCAAAAATCTGGTTTTTGACAGGTATATTTTTGATAGCTCAGGAAATTGAAAAAGTCACAAGACTTTATGCTAATCTCTGACAAGGCAAAATTTTAACTTCTCGGGCCAAAATCCAAGTCGGTAATGGATGGATTTTCAGTAGATCATGTGGTCGGATTTTGATGTTAATATTCGCATTGAGACCTCAGACAGGAAATAGCCTCTGTGCCTGTTCCAGTTAGTGCAAATGTCATCTCAAAAATCCAACAATTCTTTGGTTGGTCATTTTTGGCAAATGGTAACTTTGGATGCACATATCATGAATTTGCTGCAGCAATATACGTGTATTCCATTGTTTATGATTTACAAAGAAACTAGTCATTGTTACAAGAAAATAGTGAAATATTAGCACATACTTATCAGATGTGCTGTTTGGTCTAGTAATCTTCAGTTTCACAGTTGGATTTTTACATGAGGTGACCTGACCCTTATGAGCAGCAGTACAAATCTAATTTTTATACACAAAGCCTAATCCTTTTTTTTTTTTTTTAACTTCTTAGTGTAATAAACTCTTTCCTCAATTCACCTTTTTTTTATTTGAATAGCCTAACAGACGCTGTAAATTGATTTTTACGGATTGCATCTCTCGACAAAGTTCAAGACATTATTTGAATATGAAATTTGGGTAAAATGAATGTTATTACATATCATCAGTAAAACTGCTAAAATGCGTATCTCGGTTGCGATGTTTCAAAATATCTGCTCCTATTTTATTTTTAAAAGGACATCAAACCGAAGTAATCGCTTGAAATTTTCACAGAATATTCTTCAAATAGATAAGAAAAATCACCGGAGTTTTCAAGAATTGACTTTTATTCGTTTTCGATGTAGAAAATTAAGTATGACAGTAAGTCTGCAACGCCTCAAACCGAGATACGCATTTCTGCAGTTTCACCATCGATATCTCTTTTCTGATTAAACCTACCACATCTGTGTTTCCCCGTTACAATCGCCTTTGCTCCAAGTTGATCTCATCTTACATGTAGCATGCTTTGCAGAAACATGTCTATCTACTGTAAGCAAGAATTTTCCTAGTTTATTGGTTTACGAACCAATTATTACTTTTTTGTCAACCTAATTGGTTTTTTTCACCACCCTGGAAATGCTTCTCTGCCACCTTGCATCAATGTTTCTATAGCATGTATGCATTTAATACATTTTGAGCATTTTCATAATCATATTCTGTGAAGTTCTTTCTTCTCCTGCCCTGTTGACTGTCTCTTTACATGAATTCGATCAACTGCATATCCAAGGAGTTGCATCAATCCTCTCTGAAAAAGAAAAATTAGAATCAATGCAGTCAGATCTAATGAAGCTGCCTTTTTATCATCAACAACTGACTCGAAAGTTTAAGGGATTAAGGGTTTTTTACTCTTTTTTCACTGTTCAAAAAAAAAAAAAAAAAAATTCCAGATATGGAAATGGCCTCTTATGTTGAAGTACCTTGTAAAAATAAACTCATTCTACTTCTACTACTATTTTAAAAAAATGAAGCAGGTTGATAGGAAAAATAAAAAATCCTACATTTTCCTCCCTAGTATTTAGGTAATGGTTTTTTACTCACCTCTCATCACACTGGTCACTGGTTATAAAAACACTTCTGCGCGCCAGTTTTTTTCATTCAATTTTTCTTTATTTTTTTTCCTATTTCTTTCTTTCTTCTTTATAAATTTGTTTATACATTTTTTAGTCATTTTTTCCTCTCTATTTTTGTTTTTTTTCTCTCAAATTATGCTATTTATCTCAATTCAAATAATTATTTCAATCAAAAAGGGCGATTTAAACAGAAAACTACAGTTTTTAGAAAAGAAACTCACCGCACAAGCCATAATATTTTCTCGAAAACGCCAAGCCTTTTGCATCGCATGCAAATTGTCCACTTTCATATGGATCATACCCAATTATATTTCCTCTGAAATTTCAGAATTACACTTGTTACAACCAAACCAAATGACACTTGCAATTTCATTTTACCTGGCAGACCTAGAGATCTCCAGGGAACAGTAACTTGATTCACATCAGTAATTTTTTACTGCATACCTGATGTGTTCTGAACAACATCCCACCCCATTAAATGAAATAATGGGTTACGAAAAAAAGGTAACCTAGGCAGCATACCTAGCAAAAAATCAAATCAATGGTGAAACTCCCAAACCACATATTTTGTGTTGTTTTAAAATCTCCACACCCATTTTATTTTGAAAGAGAACATATCATCATCATCCCTTGAAGTTTTACAGAATTTTCTCCGAACAGAGATAAGGAAAATAACGGAAGTTTAAAAGAATCATTGAATAGTTTTCCATTCAAAAGATAAAGTGTAACGAGATAAAGTCTGCAATGTTGCAAACTGAGACACAGGGTTCACAAGTTTCACCATCGAAAGTCAATAAATGTCAGTTTTAAACAACCAACAAGATTAGTTCCGTTCATCAGAAAGAAAGGCAATTTGCTATGCCACGAGCAATTGCAATAGGCAATTTCATTGAGAGGAATCTTAATAAGAAGTTTCCCTAGATAGGCAACATACGCGATGCAGGCTCAATAATTTCACCGTGTAATTTCAATTTATTGCAATCTGTGCTACTGGGACACCGTCCTGTGTCTCTTAAGTTCGCACTTTTTGCATTGAATTTCTTCTTGAACCTCAAGAATTACTATTATAGGTAAAAAATTTAGTTTTAAAACTTACGTTGGGCCATAATTGCACACGTACACCTTTGTATAGCGCTGTCCCTCTAAATAATACGAGTATCCACAGCCGATATGTGATGTATCCTGCCAAACCATCTGAAAAGAGATACAGAGAAATCAAGATGAAGTGTTAGCAGGGTGGTAAAAATTATTCTTCTTTACTTCTTGACACGGTTTTAATTTAAGGATACATTTAACTTTTTCTAATTAACTTTAACACTCGACTCTTTTTTAAAACTATATCTTATGTTTTTCTTTACTATATATTACTTCTTTTCTATATTTTAGTAAACAATAAAGTACTGACCTGAGTGTAGTGACCAGTCACCGGTGAGAAGGGATTTCCGAATTTGTACTTCTTAACTTCCTCAAACCACGCATAAATTCTCGAGGCAAAATTCGGTTCTGCTCGTTGTTCTAATGTGATCCAGGTCATCCCTATATTCTGTCCAACACGAAATCGACCTGCAATCATAGTACGCACTACTTACGGTCTTTTGCGAATTGAGGTTGCAAATATCCCTGGTTCTCATGAGAAATTATTACATTCATTATTCATTCATTAAAAAGAATTAAAGTCTGTAATTGTGCTGTATGATCTTAATTTGACCTCGAATTTACCTAAAAGTTTTTGATGAGTCCATAAAACTCAAGGGACGAATCTTAATTGTTTTTTATGTTGTTCAGTAAACATTTAAATTATTTTGTGCTTACAAAATCTTAACTAAAAATAGGTTCAATTCCTGAAGAATGTAGTACTTATGTTGTAAATTTCAAATGTTTGAAACAGTAAACAAGTTTTTGATACTTAATTAATATTTCAACCTTAAATTAACTGCATCGATCGTCATTACTTTTTTGCTATGACTTTTAGGTGGTTGTAAATGACCATTAGCCAATTGTGATTGATTCAATGATTAAACGGTTTTTAGTTTATTTTCCTGTAATTTAACTGTATTCAAAGTGTGAGTAGATATAATGAGGAATCTAATTACGGATATCACACAAATTTTACAGAATTAGTCGTCAAAAGATTGTTGCAATATCACAGAAACGCACCCACAGCCCTTTGACTTGCACCATCGTGCCCGTATCTACAAGTGTCGGCCAGTGCTTGCGCCTTCGAAGCAAGTTCATCGTCCCAAGTCTGCAAAAATGAGAAAATGAAAATGAATTAAAAAGAACTCATTAGGAAAGAGACCTAGTGTTCTAGCCTTAATTAGGTATGGAGGAGCCAATAAATACCATATCAATGGCCAAAGTGCAAAACCAGATACTTCTGTAGCGATGTTTTAATATTTCCGCTCCCATTTATCTTTTTCCAAAAGAAACAAGCTAACGTTATAACATGAATTTTTTGCAGAATAAACTGTTGACAGGAAAGGAAAATCAAACTTGTTTTTAAAAATTCATAGAGAATAGTTTTGTAAAGAAAAAACAAAGTCCCTATGACAGGAAGTCTACAACGTGCAAACAAAGATAACCCTGGTAAAAATTGGCGATAAGAGCTGCGTTTCAAAATACCATAGGAATTCTTATAGCCGGCTAAAGAAGGCTACAGAAAATCATATAGCTGGCTGTAGAATGCGGAGAAAATCATACGGTCGAGCTATAGGAAGCGATAAAAAATATGCAGCCGGGCTATAGTTCCTATCGCCGGGCTTTACATTTTATCGCCTGGTTATTGCTTTTTCGCCATCGATTATAAAAGGCTATAAGAAATTGTGTAGAAATTCGTGTGCTTTGGAAATCATTAAGTTTGATACGGAACCACCTTAATATTTACAAAACACACATTATATTTTCCTTTAATACATATTTTTTTTTCATCAATTAAAATGAGAATAATCCATACAGGATGTGCAAACATTTCAAAATCGTGAGTTGAATAACGCTGACTCCGCCAGATTAAATATTAGAGCCTAACGCAAAGTGGAGCGGCGACGCACTGGCGCCTACAAACCTAACAGGGATACTTCACGCATTGTGCAATGCGTGAAGTATCCCTGTTAAAGAGGAAAAAAACCAAGAAGCTTGCAATCATTGGTTGGTATTTTTACATCGTCCTTTTAGAGTCAAATGCGTCCAATTTTAAGCGTTTGGTCATGAGTACACCACGCTGCAGCACAGTAAAAGCACAAAATATAAAAGAAAAAATCAAAGTGCTTTGTAAGTCATTTGACACGGAACTACCTGAATACTTAAAAAACAAACATTATATTTTCTTTTAAATATTTTTTTCCATCGATCTAAATGAGAATAATGCACGCAGAGTGTGCAAACATTTCAAAATCACGAGTTGAAAAATGCTGACTCAACGAGTTTAAATATTAGAGCCGAACACAGCAAAGTTGCCTACAAACCCAAGTGGATACTTCACGCATTGCGCAATGCTTGAAGTATCCACTTAGGTTTGTAGGCGCCAATGCACGGTGCGCGTTGACCGCCTTCCTGCCGCGCCGCGCCGAACCGCAGCGTGCCACGGCGCCTTAAGCAACTACTTCACAACAGAGGTGTTGCACAGTATCATACGAAATTAAAGGCGCTCCAAAAAATTAAGGATGACAGGGATCTTTTAAGAGTACGGAGTTTCCCTCGCAAAATAAATCAAGATACTCCGGCACAAAAAGAGAGCGGCAGTCCAAAAACTCAGTAATTATTTAATGACGTTTAGCATAATTTTTAAATGTCATTAGAGAAAAAAGTAACTCGATCTAAGCAGAAACATTCTTGAGTATGCAGTCAAGAAGATTTTATTTTAAATCAAGAAGACAGTAGCTGAATGAAAGCGGGTTTCTGTTTGATTTAAGTGAATTTTCTTTGTACGTAAGCATATTTTCTTCTTTAAACAACCATTATTTTCTTTATTGATTCATGAGGTTATTCTCTTGGCGGTAGATTCGAGCTTATTTCTGCTTGATTCAAGTCACTTTTTCCTCTAATGAAGTTCAAAGTCATTCTAAACGTTATTGAATACAGATACTAAGACTTACATGTATTCACATGTGGACTTATTAACTTTGGGTCTCAAGTGGTAAGTGGACCCAAACTCCCCTGCCGAAAAAACGCGTGGACGTAAACTGCTAGAAAAACGGGTGCGTGGACAAAAAATTGTTGTCGACATGTCCTATAACCTTGATGACATACATTTTGGCAACCCCCCCCCCCCCTGGTGTACCGACAAATGGGTCAGTAAGTCTCGCCAACGTGATTGCCCTTTTAAATATGTTATGCAAACAATAATATTCCGAAAATTACTTACTCACCATTTCAACCATATTTCTCGCCGGTGGTTGACCTATTTGACCCACAGCGATGATCTGCCGCAACCGATTGTGCAGTTCCAAAATTTGCTCCTTCTCTGGGCATGTCAATCCAGACCCTATTTGAGCAAGAAGCCAAGGAGATTACACTTAATGAATTTTTAAAAGAATGATCTGTCAATCAAGAACCATCCCTAAATTACGTACCTAACACTCTAAGAGGGAGAGAGGTCCGCAGAACGTTACGTCATTTTATTTTCATATGTTAAACCATAGGAACCTACGTCACAAATGCGCCACACGGGAGGAGGGGGGCCAAAAATGCCGAAAAAGTGCGTTACGTGATTTAGGGACGGCTCCTTAGGTGGGCACTATCAGAGATGGCTTTGAAAGTGTAACAATTTCCTAATTTCCAGCGGGCAGCAATTTTAAGCTAGACGTCCATTAGCAGGAGGTAGGAGGTCATCTAAAATCCGTGCGGAACTCGAACAAAATCTTTAGTTTTTTGGCTTAAGCCATGAAAGATGATCGGAAACCCCTTAAAAACCCGGACGTTCCAGAAATCGTCACCTTCCAGGCAAAGTATCTCAAGCGCCGTGCGACGTTTAAAAATTTCCGCCGCCATTTTATTTTTTTACAGAGGAATTGTTCAACGAAGCTGTCCGAAAATTTCACTGAATTTTCTTTGTGCTGCCGATAAAATTTAGTGAAAATTCCAAACAGATTCAACCAACAATTTCTCAGTAAAGAAATAAAATGGCGGCGGAAATTTTTAAACGTCGCATGGCGCTTGTGATACTTTGCCTGGAAGGTGACGAAATGTCAATCAATCACAAATTGTGCAGAAAAATCTCCAATTTTTTGGAGGAAGGCTGGACCTTGAAGAGATCTTTTGTATGGGAGCAAACAGACTTCCATCTCGCAAAGATGCGATGAGAAATGAGACATTCCGAACTAGGTATGACACTGGACTTTCTTCGTCCGCTTATTTTAAGGCCTTTGCAGAATACATTTTATAATTCCTCTCAGAAAACTTTCCTGAATCACTAATCGTCTCTGTTAATATTCTGAGTTGGAGAGTGAGGCGCTCAAGATAGGTATTAAACTTACAAGTTATGTAAGAAATTTTATGTTCATGAATTTTACCAGTTTCGTGTACTCACTCAGGAGCTCCTTATCTAAAGTTGGGCAGGCTGCACGTGAGATCTCAAAAATGTTAACGAGATAGACAAGCAAATGAACAGGATTAAGAGATCTGGAAGAATTCAACAAAAATAACCATCGTAAATGACAGGATTACACGTCGTGAAAAGATTATTTGATACCTCTATAATTCATCCAACATATTTGATAAGTTGATACAGTTCCATAAGCGCAAATGTCCGAAAACTGCAAATCCAATGAGTGCTCATCAGGGATGCAGAAAGTCCTTCGGCGTGCGCAGTTTTGAACTTTTGAGTGACAAGGGATTCAGCCTACTCACTATGACATTGCGATAAATAGTGCGATCCCAGTAATTTTTCAGAAATTAAACTTAGTTGCATCAATTCTTTAGAATTTTTATGCTTTCGCAGTGAAATCATTTCAACATTTAACGCTTTCACAGTAATTTTTTAAAAAAGTATTCAATACATAAGCTTTAATTTTCTCAAAAATTAAAAATTTACGCTCTAGCTGTGTAAAAATTAGTGCGGACGCACTATATCGACGCAAAATATCAACATCCTTGTTAGTTATCATAAGTTTTATTCATGAAAAGCAGCGCGTTGAGCGTTCACTCTTTAGAATAATCAACTTTATTTATAGGTGTAACCGCAAGTTCGGTTTGTGCAACAGATCTTCTTTAATCAGTTCTTAAGTTCGGCTACATGAACAGAAAGTTGGGTTTTACGAACCAAATAGTTGGAATAGAATAGAACACAGGTCGAAATAGTTGTATGTATCACGCGTTTCGCCTCATCCGATTTCTCTTTTCGTGCGTTAAAGTCTCTGAGTCAGCGGAAAAGTGATTCTCCTTCATTTTGTGGGTACGCAATTTTACCTACATGAAAGTTAAAATAGTTGTATCACGCATTTCCCCCATCCAACTTTTCTACTCCTGCGTCAAAGTCTCCGAGTCAGCGGAAAAGTGATTCTCCTTCATTTTGTGGGTACGCAATTTTACCTACATGAAAGTTAAAGTAGTTGTATCACGCATTTCCCCCATCCAACTTTTCTACTCCTGCGTTAAAGTCTCTGGGCCAGCCGAAAAGTGATTCTCCTTCATTTTGTGGGTACGCAATTTTACCTACATGAAAGTTAAAATAATTGTATCACGCATTTCCCCATCCAACTTTTCTACTCCTGCGTCAAAGTCTCCGAGTCAGACGAAAAGAGATTCTCCTTCATTTCGTGGATACGCAATATTACCTACATGAAAGTTAAAATAGTTGTATCACGCAGTACCCCCTGTCCAACTTTTGTACCCTCGCGTCGAAGTCTCTGAATCAGCCGAAAAGAGATTCTCCTTCATTTCGTGGATACGCAATATTACCTAATTGGAAATGAAAATAGATATCTCACGCGTTTTCCCCTCTCGCTCCATCCAACTCTTCTACTCTGTGTTAAAATCTGAGTCAGCGGAAAAGAGACCAAGCTCTTTTTCGTCGTTGTAGATACGCAAGGAAGCTTCGTTGCCTTATAATTATGACCACATCGGTAAAAAAGGACCTCATCTTCCGAAAGAAAATTTCCAAAGCTTCGAACTTTGCGCGAAAAACAATTGCGGCAAGAGCCTGCAAAACTCTACAGTTTTTCTGATATATTTACCAGTCTGAGTATACTTCAACCACGCCGGCCATTTCCCAGAGCCCGCGGTGATTTTTGAAAATACGCAGGGCAGCGCGATTACACAAATTTGGCTGGAGTATGCAAAAATGAAGTGTATTTTAATCAAAACGAAATGAATTTTATATAATCCACTATTCAAGGTCGTGGCCTACGCAATTCTTCCACCGGCCTACATGCAGTTCGCGAACGATCGATCGATTGCCCCTAACACTAAGTTCCAACTGTGTCCCATGCTTTGTAGCTCACAACTATTCGTGTCTGAAAGATATATTCGTTGTACAATTGAAGAATTGAAGGCGATCTTTCATCATGGGCTCTGCACGTTGCCGCTCCGCGGTTGAATCGGCTCGGCGCGGTTGCCATGAAAGTCGAAACGCCTTCTTTTTCGTGTGTATGCAACACGGACATCCGTTAAGCTCGAATAGTTGCATCCCGGAGTTTAAATGAATTTCGTTTTTTGTTCGTCGCGCGCATGCAATATCAACTGAGATCGCTTTGCTTCTTTCTCTTACCTCTCAACTTGTCCAGCGTCGGCAATTGTGCCGATGAAGTTAATCAGTAATGATTTTTACGGTAACGTAGTTATTATTCCAAAAATGGTTTGAATGTTTAAATGCGTTACAACGTTGCCGGTCCTCAAAATTACAAAAAAAATTAGGCAGCTGAGCAAGATTCGTAGATTTTCCTTCAACCTACTTCATAGATTCGTTCTTTGTTTGGATATTTCCCTTTTTTGGTAAATCCTTTTTGCGTTCAGGTGCGAAACTTTCAAAGAGTAATCCTCGAGACCGGCCCAAAGTTCCTTGCATATCCTAGTTGAGGTGTTGACGAAAATTAAAATGTCTTTGATTCCGTTTTTCTTCATTTAGGAATTTGCGCTCTTGGGCACCGTTCGATGAGCTTGCAAGGCGAAGATCAATTCAAATGCAAATTTTTCGAATGTAAACCGCTTGCGATTTACGGGTTTACCATTGCATCAGTTAATAAATGGTTCCCACATTCACTCGCAACAGAGAGCAATAGAACCGAGTTTAACAGAAAGGAACCGAGCCACATCAGCTATTGCCAAATTTAAATGGGCAATTTGATTTTTTACGAGAGAACGTTTGTGCGGATTCCTTTGAAAATGTGAAAGAATTTGCCACCTACTATGCAAAATATTTACTGAAATTTGCACGAAAATCCGCACAACCATTTTCATGTGCAAAATTAAATTGCCCAATTAAATTTGGCAATAGCTGATGTGACTTGGCTCCTTTCTGTTTAACGCGGTCCAATTGAAGCTCTAATGACTTAAAACCAGGAGCCGTCGTTCCTATTATAATGTCCAGACTTTACCGGACTGACCACTGTACTCTACTAACTGTAACTTTCTACAGAGGTCCCCGACGCCAGAACACCTACAGTCTTCAGATACCGTACTCACAAATTAATTAGAGTATTGCGGTAATGGTGCTCGATTGAGGAAGTTTCCACTCATGTACAACAAATCACATTGTGCCAATGGCAGGTCAATAATCTCATAGTCAATATTTTACTTTTAGAGCTTACCTACCCTCACTCCCTCAGATTAAGTTATGGTTGTGTCTTTACACCGGCAATGTGAGTAACAAAATGTCAATAGATGCATAGAAGATGTTCTCTACTTCTGTTGTATCCGCGACCCATCAATGAGCGGATTAAAGCAAGAGGGTGAAGGAGAAGGGAGAGTGAGGGAAGGCGATAATAAGTCTTAATGCCTTTTTACGCACTTTTCGAGTTTTTAGCCTTTTTTTTAGCGAGCTATGTCACGGAGAAAAAAACACGGTTTTTCTATGGTTACCACGGTATAGTGATGTCACACGAGATTCCATGGTAGTATGCTACCGCGGTGTTAAGGAAGAACGCCGTATGAGCCTTCAGACGTTGCCGAATTTCTCTCGAGAAAACCCGAATTTACTGGGATAATTGTAAATATTTCCTCCCCAAAATTTTCAGACAATTTCTTACCCAAGTTAATCTAAAATATCTGTAAATTTCAAGGAAAAGTATGCTTGAATCGCGTCAAAAATACATGTTTCATCAAGGGAAATTTGGCAACTCTCGAATGTTCATACGGCGTTTTTCTCTAGCATGCCAGTATAGAACCGTGAGTTTTGATCATTGTAATGATAAGCACGGTTATGTTACCTCGTCCACTGTTAGGTATATTACTATGAGCACAATGAAGCTACTATGAGCATGGTTACGTTTACCAAAGTCCACGGTTCTACTACCGTGGAATCCCGTGTGTACCGTAAAGTAACCGTGTTTTTTTCTCAAAAAAAGTAAATGAAAATAAATATCTTCTCTTATGAAAATAAATATATTTATTTTCAATTTTTTTTTTTCTAAATCTTAGACTGGGAACATTCAGCCGCGAAATTTTTCCGTGTTCCTATTTTCGCTCTCAACGTCGAATACCCGACTTGCTATGATGAAATAAAACATGTTTGACATCAAAATTCAGATAATAATACGTCGCAAATCGAGGCTCGCTTCTTCTAGTTGGACTGCATTTTGCAATTTCGAACCATAAATTCTGGCCCGGTTTAAAAACAACGTATGTACCATTCGTTTCCCTATGCACATAAGTGTTTTTTCAGATGAGCCAGAATTTATAGTTCCAAATTGCAAAATGCAGTCCAGTTTTACTATCCATTTGGCAGAGAACATCGAGGCCATGAACAGTCATTACACGACCAAGAGTGAGTTTATCAATTTCAAAATCTATGGTGATTTACCTATTGACTGGTCCTTCCATTGTGAAGACGCAACTTCCACTCAACAACCGTATGAGGTCGCTCTTCCCGTTATTTTTCGTGTGTTATGGAATCATGTCACTTAAAAATATGAGGATCGCGATGTTCTGTGTCCGATTTTCAAAGGGGAAACTTTTAGATCCTAAATTACCTACTAATCAAGAAATATTAGACTTCTCTCGTAAAGATGAGAGATTATTTAGAACGCGTGCTCGTATCCATGTGGCGCGGTTTATTCGGTGGTGAGACAAGTACAAAATGCACGACGAAGCGCGATGAGGTAGGAAGGTACCCTGACCCGTGGTTAATGCCAATTTTGTACGGCGAGTCATGCCGATTCACCACGTTCATGAAGGCACAACAATGATGTCGTGCGACATCGGACGAAATTCACAAACATTTGCCTCAGTTTCCGCGAAATCTGATGCGTGAAATTGTAACGTACGTAAGTGAGCATAGCATCTAAAGGAATATTGGTGCGTCATGACTCATGCATGTGATTCCAAAAATCCTCAAAATTTAGCTCATTAAGAGCCAAGATAACCCGTGCAATGACGGTTGCGCCGGAACAAATTGCTCGGATGAGCATGTTCCTGTTGGTCTTTTTTAAGGAAAAATCCAAAATTAAATTAAATTACAAGCATGACTTAGTCAGCAATATCACTGAATTTTGTCTATTTTTTTTTCATGGGAACAAGTGGCATAGACCCAAAACGGAGAATAACGAGTTTGAAGTGTCTTCCCTGAAGTCCTCTTCAAGTCTCAATGTAAAGTATACAAACTTTAAGTTAATCGCATAAACGGACGTATTTATATCAGATAGAACTATCTCCATTGCGACACGAGTCATGTAATGCATGTATTCTTATGGATCTCAGGGCCCTGGTGATAATACGGATGTTTGCTTTTTATTTAGATACGCCCAAATATTTTTGGCTGACTTTAATCGGTATGCGCGCTGGTAGAAGTCCTCAAGTTTATCTCTTGGTTCCCTTTTGCTAAACGCTGCCAACATAATCCTCTTCCTCCGAGGGCCCTCAACTTCCGATTTTCACATCGAGCATTGAACTAAAACGCGAATACTGTATGAAGTTGGCCTTATAAGTCGTGGTAATAAATTTACGTGTTAAAAATTTAATTGGCAGAAACGCAAGGTGAGATAATTCTTGGCTTTGTGCGGTGCTGGTTCTATGACAGTAGATCACTTGCACCCAGGTATATATTTAACATCACTGTGTTTCTTCGATTACAGACTGTCCTGTGTCTGATAAATTAATTAGTGATAGAGGTCTATTTCTCACACGTCACGTTGTACACAAGGTCGATGGTATATCGAAGGCTTAAATCGAAGAAACTCATAACAGCATTTACAACTTCGCAAAGTTCTTCTCTTCCGTGATTTTTACAGCGTGGAAACTACCCAATAACATCTCTTAATGCTCTTTTTGATACTTTGATATTTCATATTTTTGTAGAGATTGATAGGTTAGTGCTCTTAAATTTTTAGTGTGTAACAGACTTTTTTTCAGCAACCTCGTGGACATTTTTAATTTTTTTTGACTTCTTTTTTCATGAAATGGCTTATTTATTTATTCGTTTTTTAAACGCCAGGCTCAGGAGTATGGAATAACGCTAGAGACTGCTGTTAAAATTCAAATAGTTTTTGGTAAACTGTTTAATTTTAAATTATTTTTTTATGGCTCCTTGGAATTAACTATAATCAAACCTCAAAATCAAAATTGCAGAAATAAAATTGCGAATTTCTTTCTGACTTCTTTCTTTAAATTCTGCCTTATTCCTGAAGAGAATTCTCCTTGTAATCGCGTTATCGATATCCAAAGTGCAAAACTACGTATCTCTGTTTGAGATTTCGTAGCTTTCTACCCTTACTCTATTTTGTCTTTGGTAAAGGCGTGCATGCAATTTCTTGTAAACTCCCTCGATTTTTCTTTTCTGTTAGCAGAAAATTTTGCCGGAATTTCAAGTTATACAGTTGACTTGTTTCTCTTCGAAGAGATAAAATAGGAACGGTGATTTTGGAACTCCGTAATGAAGATACGTGATTTTGCTCCTTGGCCATCAAAATGAATATTTTAAGAAAATAACATATGACCTGGGACAAAGGAACCTGGAAGCAATTGCATCTGTGGATGTAATGATAAGGGTTAGAAACACTGATGTCCTATACGAATCACTATTGGCTATTGGCCTAATTAACAGCCGAGCATTCTGATATTTAAAATACCCTTGAGAGGCATCCAGCAAAGCTGGTATTAATGATTCTCGAGAAGTGAATTGTTAAAATTAAAAATTATTTTCCTTTTAAAAGCAGGCACACATGTGTCCCCGCCAGTAGTCAAGACTGAATGAAATTTCTCACGAAGGTACGGAGCATGGAGATGTTGAAACTAATCTTTGTTCAAAAATTACAAATTGGTTGGGAAACGAGAGAAGCACGTGGTTCTGAAGTTGATGACGTCACAAATTTTTTACCGCAAATTATTTTTATGTCACGTAACCGCAGTGACTTTCAGTTTGGAGAGTTTCGTATGATTTTAACAGCTAGAACAGTTTTAATAAAAATGTCTTCCAAAAACCTCATACCTTGTCCTCTTTTGAAAAAATGAAGGGAGCATGAAAAATTTGAGACTTTGGAACAGAAATGTCTAGTCTGCCAAGTTAAACTACTGATTCGTAATCGAGCTAGCCAGCCGTTATCAAGAAAAACGTAGTTTATGTGCGTAGGCAAACATTATTACAGCTTGTTTTGCCCGAAGCCTGATAGTAAAAACTTATAGTTCTTTTGCCGCGCTGCGCCATGAACAGTGTTGACCACATGTGCATCGTTCATATCTCTTTGCCAGACCAAACATGCCGGCAAACTCCCTTCCTCAGGAAAATTAGCTTCACTCTAGGGGTATCATTCTTCGAGCGAAAAACCTAGTTTTGACTGCTTCACAACAATGACAAAAAGTTTAATGTTCTGGAAATCTAATTAATTTTGGCTGTCTATAGCTGAGACAAAACGGTGTTGAAGTTCAAAGCATCAAAGTGTGAATAATAAGACCAAGAAGTAACCAACAGAGTAATTCAATGTCATGGATAAACTCAGTCTGAATATCATTGTGAGTGCGCAGGTGACTTAAATGCGCGCAGTAGCCACAAATAGTCAAATATCGACACTACAATACCCGCGTTTTTTGAAATTCCCAATTGTTCTGGAAGCACATATCGACGGTGAAACTACCAAACCACTTATCTCGGTTTGCGACGTCGCAGACTTCCTGTCATACTTTATTTTTTAAATGAAAAACTACTTAACATCCAGTCTTGAAAATTTCTGTGATTTTTCCTCTTTGTGCGGAGAAAATTCTGTGAAGATTTCAAGGAATGATATTGATTTGGTCTACTTCAAAAAAATAAAATGTGAGCGTAGATTTTTAAACACCGCAAACGAGAAAACGAGATACGTGGTTTGGTAGTTTCACCGTCGATATAATACACACGAATCGATCGTGAAACTGGTGAACCACTTAGGCACCTAGGTCTGCAGTTTCGCAGACTTCCTGACTTGTTTCATAACTTAGATGGGAAGATATTCGACTTCATCTCTTAAAATGTTCATTGATTTTTCTCTTCAGGTGAAGAATCTTCCGTGCATATTTTGTGCAATTGACCGAAGAGGTGAGCGATAAAGAGGCTTAATTTTATAGCAAAGTTTCAAAGTCTCATTTAAAACTTATTTCTTCCATTTATGAGGTAAACGCGTGTATTTTTCTCATTAACAATTTTAGGGAAGTTCCTTCAGATTACATATTCCCGACAAAAGAGAATCTTTTCAATGATTAAGTATATGTAAGCGCACTGTCAAATAAAACTTTAAAAAATTACAACATGTCATTGAGACCCACTGGCTCTCCCCCCTTCATTTTATGTACATTTACGGAGAAAAGAGAATCGTTGTTCCTACAATGCTCATAGTCGATCTCAAGATCCAGTTCCTTTTTTTGTAGTGTTTAAGTATGATGTTACTATCATGGTAATATTACGTGGCTACGGCTAGAAAAGCACGTGTGAGTGTAGGACCTGCAATCTTCTTGTACTTTGAAAATTTTAAGAGCTATAATAACGAAGTTTTCTCTTCGTGTCTATTACCAGTTCACCATAAAAAAATACGAGTAAACAAACAGTAGGGGGGGCAGAAAAAAATCAAATATTGAGTAAAAATGAAGTGAAAATTTTAAACCCTGTAATGATTCATCGATCCATATCGTAAATCCGCAGTCCTCTGGTTTCAATTTCAAAATGCAATGTTTACACACTATATTCTGTTAACCAGCAGGCAGATTATTGAAATTTATAGGCAAAGTGATAGACAAAGGAGACATAGGGAGTATGGAGCGATCCTATTGGTTGAAATGAGGAGTTCTTGTAGACTAAGGGAGAAAACGATGGACTACCTAACTTTAGGGTCCCTCGTGAGTTGCCGATAGTTAGTCCGTTCTGCTTCGTCCGTTGCAACCACCCATCTCCACCAATGGGATCCCTTCATATCCATTTAGTCTTCTTTGTCTATAGCTCTGTCTATCAATTTCAATAATCGTCCGGCAGTGGCGTGACTAACTACAACGAAACCAGTGTTCGAAACTCACCTTTGAGTTTTAGGAGCCATGTGACGCATCAAGCCCGATTTTTAGGCACCATCGAAGATTTTTTAGGGGTCAAATTGACTTTTCGCCTTTAGATTACGGCGCATTTAGTGAAAAGTTAAACGCAAGATGTTTTAGGAACAGAACTAGTAAGTAGCTGTAACTCGGGGAAGACAAAAGCACAAATGATGAAATCGTGAAGAATAGAAAAAGCTTTCACTTGTGTTGCTGAAAATTTCGAATAATCACCTAATTTATGAAAATTTAGATTATAAGGGGGCAATTTTTAGGGGCCACGTGGGCGCAGAGCCTTCCTTTTTTAGGAGCCGTGGCCGATTTTTTAGGCGCATTTGGCGCGTTGGCGCCTGTGAGTTTCGGGCACTGACTACAACGAAACCGGCTCACGCGATAAGATGTGTGGAGTAACATCGTGAGTGAGAGTTACCTGCGTTGTGAATGCATGTGATGATCGAGCGGCGACGGGGAGAGAGAAGAGCACTGCACTTTGGTTCAGAAGGAGCGGGAACCAACTCACTACTCAGACGCGATGACACCAGATGTCACGAACAAGTGAATGGCACTCTAAGTGTGGTTCCTCTCCTCCA